GCTCATAATTCAAACTTTTTTATCACTTTTTCAAGAAAAAAAAACTTCCTTCAATGAGATCATATAATAGGAATTATCTTCAAAATTATTTTAATCAAATGATTTATTTTCCGAATCAGAAATCACATGAGAAAAAACATCACGTAGTGTGGGATAATTTTTTTTTTTTTTTGAAAGATTGTATACGAGTTTCAATGTGAGACATTATGCAGAGGAACTTGATAAAGAAAATTATCTGAAATAACTATCAGATTATATTAAAATTACTCATATACATATCAAAATTTGAATCATAAAAAATAATCAGTTAGCATTCATCCTTAATTGGGTACTTGCACTTCAAGAAGAAGATCTCCCATACCCACACATGTGACCTATGACGTCAACGCCAGCTAATCTTTATCAGCAAAATAGCGTATTAAAGTTGAGCTAAGTTTCACCACATAAGTTAGAATATTAATTAACGATAAGTTAATTAAATACAGCTCCCGCACATCTAATTAATTGAAACATAATTTTTTTTCGTCTACTTCTTTTACTTAACTTAGAATTATTATTTGTTTATGTATTTTACTGTAATCATGATCTATTTTTGTTTTGAGTACCTGGCAATTTCGATGCATAATTTGTTTGTTTTCGTTCTATATGGCTTCGTGCCTGTTTTTGTGTAAATGCATAGTGAAAGAATTGAAATATTTGTGAAAGAATATAGAATGCGTCGCTTAAGATAATTGATGCTTGACGGGCTCGTTTACTCGAATTAGAATGGAAAGAGCAGTTGCTAACGTAAACAAATGCCACATTTCAACAACCAATCAGGAACGAGATCCCCACACTACGTCACTTGCAGGTATCTCATTCCATTCTTATGAGAAAAGCATTTTCATTCTCGAAAATTTCCCAAGAAAATTTTATGTTTTAAAATTATCGAGCTATCTAAGCTGACGCCCCTTCAGTTACCTGTCCGCTGGAAATCCATCAATAATCAATCAGTTATGTGTGCAACCGATAGGAATACGTATCTACTGGGATAAGAATACGAATTCTCCAGAGAGGAATAGTGTAAACGGAAATTGATTGAATGGTAGTGGAACACTGATCTAGTTAAGCCTCTGACGTGGACATATCTATTAAGAAATTTTGAGAACTTATAGAAATATAATTTATTTCAATGCAAAATTGGTATAGAATAAAATTTACTGTAGAAGTTCGGTACCTTTTTTTAAAATATCAGCAGTTATAAAAAATATTTGTTTTTACGAAGCTGCGTAGGTATGACAGTTGTTAATCAAAACAGAAAGTAATGTTCATGCAACATCAAATGTATGCTTTTTATTAATTTGATTTTCCCCATTTTCCTTTTTCTATTTCCGTAAAAATTTACCGACATTTTTTTTTAAAACGTCTCTACAGTGAATAATTTTACTAAGCTTTTTGTCGTAGTAATGATTAAAAAAAAAAAATTTACAATGTGTTTTATTGTTAAGATTTTTGTCCAAGTGAGATGACCTGATAATAACACTACAGCGAACAGTTTTATTCCTAATACTTTTTTCTAGGTGATGACTAGAAAACAACATTAAGTTCTTCAATGAGCAATTTTATAGTTACATTTTTTGACTAAGTAATGGCTAGATAATACTATTTTCTGGATCATTCATTTTATTGTTAAGATTCTTGTCTAAGTGTTATATTCTGCAACAGAAAAAAAAATTCAAATAACAAAACTATAACTAAAATATTATGTTTCGTATTTATGAGTACTACTAATTAACCCAAAATTGTATAGTTATGCAGGTATGCAAATTTTTAAACTTAATATACAGACAAACATATTTAGAACGTTTTAGTCATAAGAACTCAGGGAATTAAATAAATAAAAATAACTCTCACACTTTTGAAAGTTTGCATTCAAATTCCAAGAATAGTTATTTATGCGGCGAAGGAGAAAGAAATTCCCTTTTGGCGAAGTTCACAGGCAGATGAAATGCGGAACTAAATCGATAAAGTTATGCGGTTTTGTAGCAAAGTGAACTATTAACCGAGAGGGACACATATAATTACCAATTACATTACAATTTATAAATCTACTAAAATAGTTAATAAAAAGTTGCTGCAACAATTGAATAAATATCAACGTTTTGTTAAAATAATTCAATATGAAATTTTGTTTGCTTCTGCTTCTTACTAATTTTTATGCCCGTTCAATGTATGCTAGATTTTTATTTCAAACGGAAAACGAGATTTACTGACACAACTATGAAATTTTAACTTCTGGTTTATAATAATTTTCATTTAATATGATTCGATTATATGCACATTGTTTAAAATGCAGATATGAAATAATTTAAGAACATTTTGGAATGATCGAAAATGAATGACTGGGGCGTTTTCTTCAAACAGTTAATTTGTATACTCGCAGAATGGGTCTTGGGGTCTTTCCAAAATGATGCTTGATGCCACACTTGTTTTTTCAATATTTTTGACCTCCTCCCCTTTTCCGTTTTCACTGCCACATTTTCCCATACCACCTACCTTTCTAAACACAAGTCACGCTAAATAATATAAACAAAAACTAGCATAAACAAAGTGTGTCTTAGATCATATTTCTGATTTTGTTCGTAAACATTATGCGTTTTAATGACATTTTTAAGCATAACAATGATAATGATTAGGCGTGTACTTATTTTGATTAAAAAATATGAAAACAACTAATAAAAAGAAACTAATATAAAATTAGTTAATCTGCTGACTCTTAATGTTTTTAATTTTACCAAAATTTATGGTGTGTCCCCTTACAAGAAAGAAGATCCTTGCCACAGTTTCATGAACCCTCCTTTCCTCTGCTTAGTTTGACATCTTTGTAGAAGCGTCCATTCTAATTTTCTATTATATTCTTCATCTATTTATTTAAGAGTTTTTATGATATCAGATTTCCGTTGAAAGTTACATTTTTTTGTTTTATTCCATGTAGACTTTTTGATTGATTGAATACCGCACTTAATTCAAATTTAACATTTAAAACTTAAAAAAACAATTGAATGATAAAAGCTAAAGTAAAGCTTACCAATTCCTTTCTTAAATATTTTTTGTGCGTAAGAATATCGTTTAAACTAAAATACATAGATTAAAATTTATTTTCATGCTAAAAAAAATTATCTTTTTCAATAACTGGTTTTGTGTAACGTGTGCATTTCTTTTTCAATAAAAGTTTTTTATTTTTTCTTCTGAAGTCCGCATTGCTTTTTTATTTTTATTTATTTGTTTTGGTTAATTTAGTCATTCTGCAGTAATGCTTCACCTCAGTGATGTAACTTAGGTAATCAGCAGTTACGTATTGATTGGCAACCCCCTATGGAGCGAAAATATGAATACGTCACTATTTAGATGCAGCTATGCTCAGAAGTTTGGAAGTTGTCACAGACCAAAAGTCTTATTCGGGGAAAAATATTACATCTTTTTCTAGGTTTTTTTTTTCGGTCGAAAATTAATCTTGAAAATAAATTTTTAAGCGCAAGAAATTCTCTAAATGAATCGTGCTATAACATTTCACAAAAGAAAAGTACGCTATAACAAATACTTTCACGTTAAAGAAAAGAACGAAGAAAAAAAAAAGCACAAGCAAGTTTTATAAGTTCACTCAACTTTAAGCTTTCTCCCCAAATTTTTCGGGCTTAATTGTACCAAAACACTTACATGATGTGAAAATTAAGTAAATCTTCTAAATCAATTTTCATTTGTCGATATTATATTTTAAAATTCGTTTTGAATAACAAATAAAACTTTTAACGAAATAAATTATTAAGTTTGATTGTTATATTGCTTTTTTAGGAGCTTTAAGTTTCATTTAAAATATTTACGCTGCTTTCTTTTTTTATTCTTAGTAAATTTGTAAGGAGTCATGTTCACTTCATTAGAAAACGCAATCAAAGAGGAAAAAAAGACGCTTTTGAACAATTAAAAAGTAATATTTATCTTACGAATTATAGATAAAGCTCGGAGAGACAGATTTATGTGGTTAAAACCACTTTTAAGAAACCTAATTGAAATTTTTATGTGTTTTTATTTATAAATTTTTACAAAAAATAAATTGACGAAAAAATAACGAGTTTTAAGTGAAACATGTGCAATATCTTTATTTATATAATTACGATAATAATTCCGAATAAATTAAAAACTGCAATAAACGATAAAACAATTACAATAACAAGTAGCTTCCTCAGATGTGTTTTTCATTAATTTATTGAAAGAAGTGACGTACTAATATCTGTAATTTATAAACATAAATCACTTCAAAACTCACAAAATAATATTTTTTATCAAATGTGTAAGAAAAACTTACTTTATTTTATAGAGTACCTACTACTACTATTAAAAACGAGAGAAGGAGAGAGAATTATAATATTTAATTCCTAAATTAAAGACAGATGGAATTTAACGAATCAAGTAATTGAAGATAATGAGGTAATATAGAATTATTCAAGTCATAAATAAAAAAATTATAATAAATTCCTTTTTTTTTAAAATTTACGACATTCAGAGATAGTTTTTATAAAATTAAAATGCGATGAAGCAGCTACAAGTTTAAGCCACATTTATATTTTGCGAAAAAAAATACAAAAGTATCTAAATTAAGACAAAAGCCGCTAATTAATGAAACGAAAATATAACTATTGAAAACTAATCGAAAGCGGAACGAAAACTGAAAACAACACCGCAAAATCGCAACTTAGGGAGTCACGTGTTTTTCAAAAACGAAGTTTTCTTACACCGAAGAAAACAATCTCACCGAAAGAAAGTTGATGCAAAAAGCGGAGGTAAAGAAAAGGGAAAAAGTAAAATCATAATAGGGAAACGTAAATTAATAAATTCAATCAAGTACATGATATTTACTATCATCTAAAAACCTAGAAGAGATAAATTCCCTCCGTCTGCCAGCAGCAGCAAATTTCATCTGACCACTGCAGCGAGTAAGAAGGCATGACGCATTGCAGGTACAGAGAAACCAATGGAAAATAGGCTTACATCGGCGACGTTGAAGGGAAAGCCCGCGCTTTTGGTAAACAGTGTTGGTTGTGCAGTGCTAGTAGGAAGATTCTCTCTGTATTTTAGTTCCGCAGAGCTGAACTTGTACTTCAAATAGGCCGCACCTCTCTATTGTCGCAATTTAATAGCGTCACTTTTTTAAAAGTGACAAATTTTTTAGCTGCGAAATTTTATCTATGCATCCTCGCCCATAACCGCGCCAGTCCTGATTGGTAAATTCAAAAAGCGAGCTCCAGGATTTAATTCGCTTTTAGTAGTCGAGTCGCCGCTCTACGTTGCTTGCTGCAGCTGTGTTCTCTGTTCACTTCTTTGCTAGAATTCAGCATTGTGCTGTAGCCCTCGTACGAATAAATTTAGAAACGTGACAGTTTTGAAACCTAATTCAATCGAGCATGGTAAGATTATGTTACAAATATTTATTATATTTCAAATTGAGTTTAAATCTTCTCGAACCGGTATTGATTTATTATCGAATTGATTTCCGTTTACGTCAATGCGGGAATTGTTAACACTAAAGCCATAACTGGTGTGGTTTCCTGTTATGTGCTTAGAACATTAAAGTATAAAAATAGCCTTTTAAATATGCATGCTTTTGACGTTTTAAGCAAAATATTTTGTTTAGGTTCAACATTTTGCTGAACATGCCCTAATAATAAATTAGTGCTCACAATTTTAAATTGCACGTTTTCTTGTGCCCGTTTTTGTGTGATTAGTTTAAATTAATGCTTATTTGCAAATTCTGTATGAACTTATTAAACTGCACTTCTCGCAATATTTGCCAGATTTTAATACTTAGCTTTCTTCCAGGCCGATCAACTAACAGAAGAACAAATTGCTGGTAAGTTCGTATCCAATTTTATTTACTAATGCATACTTTTTAACTTTAAATAGCCATTTTTATTCGTATAATTATCCTCTTTTTGTTATATTTTAACCATATAATAGAATAGTTCACATATTATACCTTTAAATTAGTTTTGTACTGTTTACTGCCGCGACCTTCGTATTAGTTGAAAAAAATAAAAACGAGCGCGCATGTGGGTGTAAATAAGCTATTAATTTAATAAACAAAATTTTTGCTGTTACGCATGTGCTAGTGAACAAAATTTTGACAGGTGATAATGTATTTTGTAACAAGTCTTAACAAATCAACATTAATAAGAATATTCTATTGCTGGTATTAATTTTAACTTATTATAACAAATTTTAGCAAATGTAACTTATATTTTATGTCCGAGTTTTCGTGCTGACGCGGAAGAATTAAAAAATTTCAACTTTTTTTGTTCCTATTGTTAAAATTAGTTTCATAATGTAAAAGTTAATTACTGTTAAAAATTTAGAACGTTAATTTAAATTTTTTGCATGAAATTTCTTTGTGTATCATGGCTGTGTGTTGGCTAAAACAATAAATTTAAGTTTTTCCTTATTGCTATTAGAATAGGATGTAAATTTTGTATCAAAATGGCTTTTATATATAATTCTTATTAAATAGTAAATCTTTATTTTACCAAGATTTGTCTGGTCTAATAAAATTCAAAGGTTTTAAGAAGATTTTAAGACTACACTAAGTTTACTCTTCCGGATGAATTGTCATGCTCCCAATATGTTAAATGAAATATTTTATTACTTTTAAGGGAGAACTTAAATTGATAATTTTGATTTGTCTAACTGTTTAAAAAATGCTATAGTAGAAGCTTCTGTATTCAGAAAATTTACAAAACGTTATTTTATTTAGAAAGTGGTTATTTTTTTGCAGAACAGACTTTATGGGTAAAGATGTAAAGAAATATAACAAGTTTTATTTTTAAAATTATACTTAAACTGGATAGTATAAAAAAAAGTTTCAAATATTCTGAATTCTTCTAACCATTAAACTGCAAATTACATCGTATTAGCTCTTATCATAAAAATGGTTTAAGTAATTTATTTGTCTATTAGATTGAAGTTAACATTGTAAATGTGTTTTGTTGTAGAATTCAAAGAGGCCTTTTCCCTTTTTGATAAGGATGGTGATGGTACAATCACAACTAAAGAATTAGGAACAGTAATGAGATCATTAGGTCAAAATCCAACGGAAGCTGAGCTACAGGATATGATCAATGAAGTAGATGCTGATGGTGAGTCTCTTACACAAGAATAAATTTTTCTTTTCTATTAAAATTTATACAAACGTGGTTTTAAACAGAATTGGCATGGCTATGTTTTTGATGGTTTGTACTACAGATAAAACCATGACAAGTACAAAAATACTCCTGTTTCAAATAGCCCAGTTTTGGTAGTGTTTAAGAGTAAAATATTAAATACTACTTGTACAGTTTAACTGCTGTAAAAGTTGTAATTATACGTTCATTTCAGGGCTGGGTTTTTGCCGTCAAAAACTGGTTTTTGACATGACAGTGGTAAAAACAGTCAAAAACCTCCTGTTTCCTTTAATTTATGGCATGTAGCGGACAATATTTATATTATTTTCACGTAATTGCCTTTATAAATGAATGTTGTAAATTATTGCTATTGATTTTGCAACTATATACATGTATTCTTATAGAAGGATATACATTCATATAATTCCACATTCATATGTAGTTAAGTACGTTCATATACTTTTATCATTATAGCTTGATTTGCAAAGGATTCAAAATTTTGCACTTAATTGTTAGAAATAAACAAACAAAAAAGCTTGGAACTATTAATAAATTCAAGACCTAAAAAGAATTTAAAATTTGGCATTTCTTAAATATTAAAAATAAGCTAAACAAAACTTGCAACTACTAACAAACTCTAAGTCAAGAATGACTTGATATTCTTCAGTAATATAATATGCCAAACAAAATGATGCTTGGAAATGTTGAAAATTTTGTTTAGTATCCTAATATTTTACTTCAAATAGTATGGGTTGATATAATCATGTTGGGAAAATGCAAGAATCTGTTCTTAAATATCTTTTAACAACTTTTTTTCTAATTTTATTGCCCAAAAAGGAATTAATTTTAAATTATAAGCAGTTGACTCAAATAAAAATACAGTTTTACCAAAACTATGGGTTTTTGACATGACGGTAAAAACCGTCATGCGTCAAAAACTTGCCAACCCTGGTTCATTTTTATAAGTTTCTGATTATTTTATTTTCATACGTAATTTTCTATAATAAATGCTTAGATTTTAATTTTTGAACATAAAGTTAAAAAAAGTTTAATTGAAAGCATGAGTTATAAATGTAAAGCCGGATTCTATTTAAATTTTCTTATGTTATCCAGTATATACTTTGGGAAAGAAGAAATGGATGAAAACAATTAATGACATTATCAAATAAGAAATTTTTTTTACTTGATAAACTTGTTAATGCAGGATTTTTTGCTTTTTTTAAAGAAAAATTTGTTCACATTCCTATCTTTAGAGATTATAGTAAAATTATTTATGCAAATTTATATTGGAGGTTGTTGTTTTTTTTTTAAAATCTAGAAAAACACTACACAAAATAAAGATATAAAAAAGGTACTTATGTTTCAAAACAAATTTCTTTTTTTCTCTTTGCATCAAAATTTGACTTGATGAAAAAAATTTGCATTTAATTATTATTGATATTTGTTTTGAAGGAAGACATTTAAAATACAGTGCAATATAAACCATAGGTTTCACTTTTTTTTCCTACCTGACTGCCCATTTTACATATCAAATTCTTCAATGCCTCACTTCTCCATTATATGTTTTTTAGAATTCTTAATAAACAATTTTATCTATCGTTCTATTTAAATTTAACAATCAGCTAAATGTTATCAATTTAAATATGGAACTTACATATTTTTACAAGTCTGCGGTTAATAATAAATAAATGCAATTGGGAAAAAGTTTAAATCAGAGTATAATAGCTGTTTAAAGGAAATTCTACTTCATATTTATATGGATTATAATTTCAAAATATCACTGACGCCTTCAACATAAAGTAAACATTACAGAATCAGTAAGTGTTCAACAAAATGTTAGACTATGGAAGCTTGAATTATGCAATATTTTACAGAATAAATTAGTCCTAATTGCTGTGCATCAAAATTTAATTAAAGTAATTGCCACACAGTTATATATAGAGTAAAATAACTCAAAAATTTTAATAACCTCTAACTTTTATGATATGTTCATAATGAATGAAAGAATAACAATTTTTTATGAATTCAGAAAAATATATAGAATTTTTATAAGCAAACTAAAGAAAAAATCGTCAACTTCGTTAATTTTCTGTGGGAAAGCAGCAAGCAAAATATTACATAAAACTGTGGTCTTTTTCTCAATAGATTGTTAAATTAATAATTGCTGTAATAAAATTTAATGTACGGAATATGTGCAGTCGTCCCCACTTAATCGCATAGTGGATAATCGAATAACCCGGTTAAACTTTCCTGTTTAATCTGGTTTGTTGTTTTTTGACCCGCTTAATTGCATGAAGTGGTACTGAAATGAAAAAATTTGTTTGTTTGAAAATGTTTCACCATCGAAAATGTAATTTCCCTTTTTCAGTTAAAAGTTGAGCTTGAAAAGGCGCATTAAGTTTAGCTAAAATGGCGTATTAATTTGGAATTTCTTAAGTTTCGAAGATTTAAAAATAAGATAAAAAAAAAAGACTAATTCTGCATGTGTTTGTAAGAAGTCATGAAAATTTCAGCAGTAACTAAAAGGGAATATCTAATCTTGATAAATTGATGAATTAAAAAGATATAAAAAAGTCTTCAATTATTGATTTTTTTCGGAAGAGATCAAATAATATTTTAGTACCTTCATAGTACTTTTTACTAACATTGATTTATTTTTATGCAACTTTAAGTGACGTTTATATTTTATGACGCTAGCGCAAAGAGTTTTAATTATTGTTTATTGATCATAAAACTGAGTTAATTTAATCAAAACTCTACTATGCATGCATTAAATACCATAAAAAGTAATATTTCACAAATTCAGAATTTAAGATCGAATATTGCGCTCCCCATTTAATCTAAAGCCCGCTTAATTGCATAGATTTGGCTGGTACCGATAGTTTTCCTTTAACCAGAGTTGACTGTATTAGTTTTTCATAACTAAAAAATTTCAGGTTAAATCGATCAATATTTTAAATTTTTTTCCATAAGCTGTACAAATTCTCCACAAAGTTCTACTCCTTTATGGGATGGTAAGGTAAGCATTTCATTATAATTGTCAAAACATAGCCTCTATGGAATTACAATTAAGAATTATTTTAACACCCATGTGAATGTCAAATTTGAAAAGATGTTCAATTTAGCAACTGCAGGGTTGGGTTTTTGCCGTCTAAAACTGATTTTTGATATGTCAGTGGTAAAAACCGTGTTTTTACCGGTAAAACAGTAAAAAACCTACTGTTTTCTTTCATTTATGGCATATAGCGGACAATAAATTATTTTCACTGAATTGCCTTTATAAATGAATGTTGTAAAGATTGCTATTAAATTTGCAAATATATACATGTTTTCATATAGAAGGATATACATTCATACAGAAATATTGTAATATACTTATTGAAAATAGTGATACTTTAACTTTCATCATTATAGCTTAATTTGCAAAGGATTCAAAATTTTGCACTTAATTGTTAGAAATAAACAAACAAACAAAAAAAACTTAGAACTATTAATAAATTCAAGAACTAAAGAGAAGAATTTAAAATTTGGCATTTCTTAAATATTAGAAGTAAGCTAAACAAAACTTTCAAAACTTGTAACTACTAACAAACTCTAAGTCAAGAATGACTTGACATTCTTCAGTAATGTAATATGCCAAACAAAATGATGCTTGGAAATGTTGAAAATTTTGTTTAGTATCATTAATATTTTACTTCAAATAGTATGATTTGATATAATCATGTTGGGAAAATGCAAAAATCTGTTCTTAAATATCTTTCAACAACTTTTTTTCTAATTTTATTGCCCAAAAAAGAATTAATTTTAAATCATAGGCAGTTAAACTCAAATTAAAATACAGTAAACCAATGGTAACAACAATGGTATAAACCGGTAAAAACCGTCATGTGTCAAAAACTTGCCAACCCTGAGCAACTGTCAATCAATTTAAAACATTGTTTTTTTTTTGTTTTTTTTAAGTTAAGCATGCATGGTTTTGTTTAAACTTGGTAATTTGGTTTTTTAGCCATCTGCTATTTAACAGAAATGATTTCTACCATCATATCTCAGGGGTCTGTCCAGGTCGAATTTACTACCGCTTAGCGGTACCTTCACGAATTCAACTTTAGGAAAAACGGTAGTTTCACAAATTCAATTTTAGGAAAAACTGTAGTAAAAATACTTTTTCTTACTTACAATTTTATTTTTGTATTCCTTAAAAAACGATAAATCCATATTTTTGTGTTGATTTTTAAATATAATTTTTAATTTTTCACAAATTATGTCTAAATTTTCACAAAATAGGTACCTCTCAGAAGAACCTAGACAGACCCCTGTATCTGGTTTAATGTTATTGTCAATTTATTTTTAAAATATGGCCTAGTTTTGGTAAGATTTAGAACTTATAAATTATGAGTTTCATTGTTTACATTTGCTTGTTATTTTCATACTCTCAAATACAGCAAACTATATGTTGAATTTCCTGTCTGCATTATGCCTTCTAATGCTTTGCTGATTTTGGTAAACAAGACAATATTGTTGCTGTTTTGAATGTTTTGCTATGTCTTTGTTAAGCATTGTGTGGTGAAATTCTGATTAAATGCTTGATACAAATGTTCAGTGGTAATAAAAAAAATGATCAAAATATTTCTTGGCATAAGACAAGGCTGTTATGGCTTACCACTACAATGTGCTTGCTATCTGTGAATCAAGGAGTATTGAATTTAGATTTTAAGATGCTTGACTGGCTTTCTGGTTATTTCAGATAAACTTTGATATATAAGATTTCCTTTTCCTGGCATAGGTTTCAAATCAGTGGGCTGAAATCTCATTGTTTACCTTTGCATCAAAACTTAATATTTGTTAACTTTTTTTTTAGTATGATGTATGTTTTTGGGAGAATTACTTAGAAAATAAAAGAATAATTTAAATGACTTAAACTCAAATATGTTAATTATTTTTTTAAACTTTAACACTTCATAATCTGAAGTTTTGTGCTGTCCAACTTACGAGGGAAGTACACATTTGTAAAATTCTTAGTCCAATGAAAAAAAACTTGAAAAACATGGTCTAGAACTTAGGGTGGGGTAAAAATTTTTTAACTGCAGCTCTTGGGTCAAGGTATGATCCTTAAAGTTTTAGCTTCTTTATTATTAATAGTAAAGCATTTAGATGTCTTAAGTGAGGCCAGATAGTTAAGACACCGGGGTTCTACATCAGCTGGTGGCACTTTTGTTTTCATTTCTTTGTTAATAAAAATAACTTTTTAATGGTAAATCTATATATATTAAAAATTCTACTCACTAAGCTTAGTAACAATTCAAAAGTTGTTTTAAATGTTATGTTAAGCTATTTTAAAAGTAATAATTATTATTAAGAATTTTTTTCTATGAAAATTATAAATGTTTTTCATTAACTTAACGTAAGAAAAGTTTTTAGGGGGAAAACTTTAATTATTTTGTTTTTCTTCAATAATTAAAAATATCAGTCATAAAAAGCTTAACTTACTGCTTTAAAAGAAATCTATTATTATTAAAAAGTAAAGTTTAAACATTTTAACATATATACAGTAGAACCCTGATTATTTGGCAACTCTTTCGGCATACATTAAAAACTTCTCTTTCGTTCTAGTTTATATGTAAAACTTTTGCTTTTTTCAAATACTTCATAACAATTTATATTTTACTATATGTTTATCTAAATTTAGACTAAGTGTATCTGCCACTACAAATAATTCCAAGTCGCTAGTATATAAGACATGTTAACTCTATTCAATGGTGAGGTACCTTTTCATAGATGAAGGTTGGCCTGGTCGATAACTACTCACAATCCCCACACATCTATTGAAGAAATCTTGTACATGGGGAAGAAACAGAGCACATATCTAATGTTCACACAAATTTATTAGTTTTGTTTAAATTAGCCTCAAATTATAACAAAGCAACCTAGGTCTAAGTTTCTAATGTTTTTCACGTCATTTCTTTCATGTGAGTTGAGGCAGAAAAAGGTTCTTAAGATAGTTAGAAACATACATTTTAACTGTCAATTGAAATCTTAAGTTCTTAAAATTGCTACGTAGTTCTTAATTTTTGCATACCTTTATGAACCTGAAAATGCTTCAGGGTGTGTAGCGTTTATTAAAGGTGCTTATTTTCGATTTTTGTTTTTTAAAGGCCCTTAAATGTGCTTTTTTTCATTGGGTGTTTTTAAAAAGTGCTTAATTTTTCCTTTTTTCGAAATGAGATTTTTCCTTAACCATGTTGATTTTCAGTACGAATTATGCAAAAAGACACAGTTCACATTAGTCTATTAAACGTTTTCACAATTAATTCAACCGCAATCTATTTTGGCATATTGTCAGTTCGTAGCATATGAAAACTCCGTTCGTTTTACATGGTTCAAAATTTCATGATTTTTGCCAATTGTCAAAAATGTCAAAGTTTTTTTTTCTTTTCTTTTTTTGACATGACTGTTAAAACAGTCAATCGTCAAACTTTCCAACCCTGCCTAATTATGATATGCTTAAAAATACTTTTTGAGTGCTTAAAAGATTCTTATTTTTTGTTGAATTATTTGGCTACGCACCCTGTGCCATGTTGAAATAACTTTTCAAAAGTTAGGAATCAAATTGAATACTTTTCATTTAAAAAAAAAATTTAAATGTAGCTTTTCATAATGGCATTTTTGTTACAAACTGACAAAAATCAGATAAAGGGGCAAGAAAATTTGATGAAATTTTACTGAAAAGCGTTTAATAAGAGAAGACCCTTCAAAAAAATTATTTCAAGTGTATGTTGTGAAAAAATTCATGGAACAATTTTTTATATGGATGTTCCCTGAAAACGCTGTAATACGGCATGCCTAAACTTTTAAGTGGCAGTTTGGGATGCATCTTTTACTACTTCTTTCATAGTCCTTAGCACCAGCTTTTAATCTGGTGTTCCAATATTTAGTTTCCAACTTACATGAGGCCGCAATTAAAAACACCAGTCAAATGGCCGGCTGAAACTTATCAAAATTTTATCTAGGACTCGTTTATGTTCGAAGGAACATTGACTATTACTGTCAGATTTTTATCAAGTTGTACAAAACAAACTTATCTAATTAAAATTAGAAGATTAGATTTTTGTATTTGAAAAACTATGTTCTTGGGTGCAAAACCTGAGAAAATTTTTTTTTTGATATGTTAAATTTAACAACATGTAAATACATGTTAGCATAACATGTTAAATTTTACAGAAATGAAGAAATTATGATTTTTTGTATGAAAATAGTCCGCAAAAAATGACAACTAATATATCTTAGTTCGCGGGCCGCCAGCTGGTAACCGCTGTTCTGGACTGTTTAAAACTTTGTTGGGGATTTCTTATACTGTTATCACTCATCAATTAATTCCCTAAACTTTGTTGAGATGAAGCATGAGATTATTTGTCAAAATGAGCTTTCTCATTAAAAGAGTTCTTGTTACAAATTGAAATGATTTTAATTTCTGTTCTTTAATTATTAGGAAATGGTACAATTGATTTCCCAGAATTCTTAACTATGATGGCTCGAAAAATGAAGGATACAGATAGTGAAGAAGAAATTAGGGAAGCCTTCAGAGTCTTTGACAAAGACGGTAATGGATTCATCAGTGCGGCAGAATTGCGTCATGTTATGACAAATCTTGGAGAAAAGCTCACAGATGAAGAGGTTGATGAAATGATTAGGGAAGCTGATATTGATGGAGATGGTCAAGTAAACTATGAAGGTACTTTGATCTTTTTTATGATTTTTTTTTTTTAATCTGTGTGAAGCAAAGTAATAGTATAATTGCTCTTAAGATAAAGAGTTTTTGTACAGTGATTAAAATTTTTAACCTTTTAAAACCTTTTGCAAATATTTGTCTTATAAATGAATTGAGTTCAATTTTAGCTTTATTCAGAACAATTTAACCCTGGTGTAAATTGTGTTAAATTTCTAATTTTGTCATTACGATCTGATTTTGTTTTTCAAATCCTTCTATACTTTAACTTTACATAAATAACTACAGTACTAGACTAAAATTTTTAGCTTGCTTTACTTCATACTATCTATAGTGTGAGATTAAGTGAAATAGTTGAAGCAAATTTTTTAGAGTTTCATAAAAATATATCCTTAGTAATATTGTTTCCAACTGCAAGTAAAAATGAAACTTCACCCAATGAAAGAGTTTTGTCATTATTTTGTATAATTTTACTTTGTTTTCTCATTTATACTTAGAATTTTAGTAATTTAATTAAAACTGTTCAAAAATTTATGTTAAATATCAAAATGTATGGTATATAAATTGTCTTCATGCAGATTTTTTGCACACCAAATTTTCAGTTTTTCACTTTGTGTCAAACTTGTTTAAGTGTATCTTTGTGTTTAAAAAGTCGTCAGGAGTGTAATTAGTGTAGCATTAGTTTTTTTTTTTTTTTTTTTTAATTAAAATTCTCTAAAATTGCAAAACACTTGTAACAATCTAAGATAAAAATTGGAGAAATGTAAAGGTAAAAAGATGTGTGTTCTATATTCAGGGCTGATTGTGCTCCGTAAAAAATCTAGATTTCCGGATTTTTCGCTAACAGTGATCTGGAAGTTTCCGGAAATCAAATTTTCAAAGATGGAACTTAAAAACACAGTTTATTTTATTTGTTTGTAAAAGGAGAGCCAGAGAGATACTTTATAAGCTTATAATCATGATTGATATTCATTTTTTATCAGTAAATAGTTGTTATAATCATAAACTCAAGAAAAAAAGACATTTGTAAATTTTAATTACTTTTCCAGGTCATCATAGGTATGTGTAAGTGGTATAGGTATGTGTAAAATTGTAAATATATTAAGTAAACTAAGAAATATTGAGAAAAAGGAAAAATAAACTTGTTTAAATTTTTTTCAATTTGAACTTTTTTTAACTCAAATTTTCCGGAATTTTGGCTTGGGCTCACAATCACCCTTGTATATTAACATAAGATTGTTTTGTGTCTGTAATTAAAACTAGTTTTGTATCAGAAAATTGGTTGTTCCTAACTTAAAAATTTGCTTAACTTTGCCATTGCAATGACATTTGTGGGAGTATGTTTTTCAGAACTAAAATTTTTGATAGCTACAACATAAGGGTGTTATGAGCATTTTTAAATTATGTCAGTTACACATGTTAAAAACACAGTTGGGTATATTTGTGGTGTTTCGTATTGCTCCCTTTTTTCCAGGCTAATATATTCATTTAATTTTATGATAAAACAAAGACGTTTGAAATAGTAGATGTTTCCAGATCTAATATTCAATCATGTTTTTAGAATAAAATTTCTCAGTTATTAAAGTTATAATACTTGAAAGTTTTTAGTTGCTTTTGTATTGTGTGCACAGATAGTTATTATTTTTATCTTACTCCGAGAACTATTTGTTTTTGTGGTGGTCAAAATAACTTTAAATTTATTTCTGTTAACAAATACTTATACAATAAAACAAATTTTTCTACTGCTAGAGAAATATTGCTCAAAGAGCATAGATTCTCCTCCCCATCCCTTAAAAAAGTGGGGAAACTTTGTCGAAAAATACTTTCACAATAGTACTTTGCAGCGTTAAATATTAAGATTCATCTTCAGGGCACCAAAATTTTTACGTTAATAGCAAATGATTTTTTAAATCTAAAAACATTTCAATTGTGTAACAAATGCTTACTGATTGTGCTGTTTTTCTAGAATAATCATCTTATCAAGCTAATAACAGGCATTTGACATTATACATGAGGCATATGACATTTTTTAAATAAAATAATAGTATTTAGTACCTCATATTCTTAATTTTTTAAAAAATGGAAGCTGATGTTAAAAATGTTTTAACTATTATTATGAATTATGACCTGTACAAATTTTGTCTTAATTCAAATAGCATAATTTATAAATATTTGACCACTGCTTTACAAAATATTTTAACATTTTCCAATTTTTTTTTTTTAAGATTATATTTGTACTTGAGAGATTCTAAAGAATGCTAAGTTAATTATTAATTATTTTTTTTTAAATTTAAGGATAGATTTTTTATTAAAATTGCTTGTAGGCATTGTAAGATAAAAACATAAAGTATCTGCGCACACAATTCAAAAGTATCTGCAAGCTCAGAATATTTTTTATAATAGAATAGTTTTATTAAATATACAAAAACAGTTGGCTATTTAATATTTTTTATTTATTCTTGACAAATGTATATATAGATATGCATGCCCTTTAACATAAAAACATTAGAGAAAGATTAATATTAATAGTTTTACATAGAGCAGCTACGTTCATATAAAGTAATTATCATATTAAGTTCTATTAATCATTTCGCTCCAAATGAAGTTGCATTAAAATTTCTACTGTTATATTTATTTCATTGTAAAGCGATAATTGAGTTGTAAAAACTAATTGTATTCTCGATCGCTATTCTTGGGCTAAAGTGGCAGTTATCTTTTCTCTTGTGTCGAAGCGTGCATACAACTAAACACTAACTTTCTTCTACCTTGCGTAGATCATGATTATGTCCGCCTGCTTTGTATTTTCTTTTTCCCCCATTGCAAACTCTTTTTTTTTTTGCATGTGCGGATACATTTTTTAATATTAAAGTGTCTGCAAAATTGGGGAACAACTGCCAATTTATCAGTACATGGCGTGTGCATCTATTTTATCTAACTATGCCTGTAGGAAACAACAGATTAGGCCTTTCATTCTTGGGGGACGACCTCAGAGTTAAAGGTTGTGATCACAATTTTTTACTCTTGACAGAAACTTGCTTGATGATCTCCTATAGATCATGTTTGGATTATCTTGGTTAATCTTATTACTTAGACCCTCATTGGCCTTTTTCAGAGGGTACTCTATCCCTGTGTTTGGAAACCTATAATTCTAAAGCTAACATCCTGTACCTAGTCCTGATTGTAGAATTTCACCCCTGGACAATGATATACAGTAGGGAACCGATTATCCGGAACGATCGGGACCATCGATATTCCGGATAACTGATTTTTCCGGTTTTCTGAATCGCTACAAAAACCCGTTTTTTTTTTCATAGTTAAACCCAACTAAAAAAAAAAAAAATTGGAAATAATCTTAAAAAGAAGAAAAAACGATGAAATAATACACTAATGATTATTTCCAAAATGATGGTAAGGTAAACATCTTTCAAATAAGAACAAAAAATCCTAAAATCCTATGAGGAAAAAAAAATTTTTTTTTTTTATAATGGCAGGAAAACTAATCGAATTTCGTTCCGGTTTTTTGGTTTTCTGATTTCCGGATAACGGGTTCTGTACTGTAATTGTTTGAATTGTATGACTTAATGTTTTTTTTTTAAGATATTAAATTAAATGCAACATTTTTCAAGAAATATTAAGCTTTAATAAGGACAAGGGATTTTAAATTAGTTATGGTTACCATTTGCTTATTTTATGAATTTATTGCAATTTAAAGCAAAAGTTTTCATATTATGGCTACTAAATGCAACTCGCTAGTGGTATCAATGGGTGTTGAAAACCACTGACCCTTCTTTCCGTGTATTGACTCAAGCCACTTAAAGTACTTATGTTTGTTATTTTACTTTGCAATCAATTTTATTGCTTTTTTTTTCCATGTCTCCTGACTGGCGCAGTGGAGTGTATTTACTGTGCCAGTAATAATGCAAGCATGTGTTAAGTGTATGAAAAGAATTAAGTGTGTAAAAAAACTAATTTACTGTTTATAATGCAGACCAAAAGTGATTGTTTTTTTTAATATAGTTCTTTAAAGTGAAATTTCAAGTTCCCAAACCCTAAGTCTTTACAAAGCTTAAAATTAATGTTGGTCTGAGACCACTAGAATTAGACTGACTTCCATAAAATAATTAGTGATGGTCTCTTGAACCATCAGTTGGTGTAAAGTAGTAGCATACTGTTTTGGTTTTTAGTCTGTCCTGAAAAGCATATGACACATATCCTTTGCCTTGTAACTTTAAAAATATATAATCATAACATTTAAAAAGAGCAGTAAAAACATCTAAGGGCTAGTAATTTCAGGTATTGGTTCCTTGAACTAGTTGTTAAATTTTATTTTTAGCCCAGTTAAGTGAAAAGGATATTTCTAGATTACTTTCATTTTCTTAAATTTTTAGTGAAATATCATTAATAACGTTATTTCTATACATTTGCAGTTATGCTAAAAGGATGTCTTATTAAGTGAAAAGCTAGATAACCTAATCGATTACTTTTGTGGTGTGCTTGTATTTTTACCAGTTGGTGCTATTGAGCTTAACAAAATGAAGAAATTATAGAAATTAAGATCTGATACTTTTCTTTTACCAGATCTAAATAACCTAATAATTGTCAGACTGTAAGGTGATTCAGTCAAAAATTTGAAGAAAATATTTTTCATAGTATGCTAGAAAGAAATTAAACTTTAGGTTAATCTGCATCAAATCATTTAATAAAAATTTCAACAATTTAGATTCCATTTTGCATGTTTTTTAGATACTGTATTTTAGCACTTAAGGTTTCAAGTGTGAAATTTTTAAACGGCTGCAACTGTATTTTGATAATTATTTCATATTAGGAAACTAAATTTTTTAAGATATGAAAATGGGATTTAATTTTTCTGGAAAATATATTTTCTACTTTTTAATAATTTTTATGCAACATTTCAAGATTGTTTTCCTACGGGATAAACAAAAGATTAAAAAAAAATTTATAATAAGAAAATAGTCTAATATTGATAAAAATGTAGTAAAAACCGCATTATCTGCAGTGATATTCAAAGTAATAAAGTTATATTTATTAAAAAATATTATAAAGCAATGTTTTATTAAAAAATTTAACAAACTAGAAATTTTCAGGAACAAGACTCACAAAAATATCAAATTTTAACCATTAATTTGTAATTTTCTTAAAGGTGCTAATGAAAACAGTTTGACAATTTGTAAAGGATTCTGGTTATTGGTGTAATATCTAAAATATCTTGGTTTCTTAAACAAATAACTTAATTTTCATAAGTATAATCTGTATTTCTCAAATACATTAACTTATACAGCTTGTTTCTGAAAAAAGAATCCTATTAAAAATATTATTTTAGTTCTAATCTAATTCTCAAGCGAGCAATAACCTAAGTATTTCTAAGTAATGTAAGAATCATTTATAATCTGTTTGCAACTTTCCTCTTTTAGATAATCTAGAATTTCAATTTTTAGTCTGCCATTTCTATATCAAAGTTTTTAATATTGACAACTATGATAATCCTTAGCTCTTAACATTCTATTTATTTGATTTTTATTAGTTTACAAGTATATAAAATTTTTACATTACTGGTCAATAGTCTCTGCATATGGCTTCCTCAGTGTTGTATATTTCATTACTAAATTAAATCTTATTGCTACCTTCTCCAAAGAGAAATTCCTGCCTTCAATTAGTGTTTTATAACCCCTTCATTATACATTTTTACAAAATTTTAAGTAGAACGATATATATACTATATTTATATATGCAGTGGAGCATCATTTATGTGACGTTTTAGTGTGGTCCCAATTCACTCCTATTCATTTTAATGTGAAAATATGTAGTTTATACGACACACAGAATCGGTTATATGTCTGTTTTTAGATTCTGTTTACGTTTATTTTACTTTTATTCTTCACACTGAAACTTTCTTTTCTATCATCTAATGCCGAATCTGACATTAGCTTATAAAGCCAAAAAAGGCAAAGGAGGCAAAAAAGAAAAGATCGCCTTACTGTGCTGCTTTGTGTGAACTCTGATGAAAGTGAAAAGATCACTCCTTTAGTGGTAGGAAAATCAAAAAATCCCAGATGTCTAAATCATATCAAAACGCTTCCGCTAGATAATGACGCCAATAAGAATGCGTGGACAACAACCAAAATTTTTACTAGTTATCTGAAAAAACTAGACAATGTTATGAAGAGGCAAAAACTAAAAGTTTTGCTATTTATCGACCAATGTCCAGCTCACTCATCGGATACTAATTTCTTGGAAAATGTAAAAGTTCACTTCTTCCTGCAAACTGCACAAGTGTGCTTCAGCCATTAGATTTGGCCGTGATTAAGAATCTAAAATTGCAGTATGGAGAGCAGTTAGTTGAACTCACTATGAAGCATTGCAGAGCATAATCCCAAGAAAATAAGTGTTCTCCAAGCAATGAATATGATTCCGTTGGCATGGTCTCAGGTAACAGACAATAAAGAACTGTATTATAAAATTCCATTAAAACACTAAGAACTTATTTTTTTGAAAAAACTTTTCAGGAATTTGTGTTATTTCGCAAGTCATTAATTACAGCTCAACGTTAATCCTCACATCAAACAACCGTATATAATTTTCTCTGTAAACTTAATGTGAAAGGATTAAAGTGAAGAGAAAAAAACAAATTTGGAGTATTAAAAAAAAAATAGTAATATATAAATAAAATGTAACATACATTCAAATTGCTTACTGTAATCTTTCTTTTTTTTTTATGGTCATTTGTTTGTTTTACTTCGTCTAATTTAGAAATGTATGTAAATTAAAACATTAAAATTAACTGAAAACAGAGTTAGTTTCTAGTTTTGGAGGTAAAAATAGATTATAAGATGTTATCGTTTATACGACGTTTTTCAGTGGTCCCTTCGGCGTCATATAGACGATGCTCCACTGTATATATATGTCCTTTAATATTTTTGAAGCTTTGTGTATAAACGAATTTTTATATCTTATGACTTTTTTTTACTGTTCTTTGATTGTAAATTTAATATTTAAGTTATACTGTAGTTATTTGCCTCCCTCAGGTTATATCTTTTTTTCCTCTTTTTCAGAATTCGTGACCATGATGACGTCAAAATGATTTTAACACAGTGATTCCTGTAAATTTTTTCTTGCTTTCCAAACTTATGTATGTTGTCCGGCTAGTTTGAAAGTTCTGTTGTGAATGTTACCTCTGTAAAGACACTTTTGTACCATATTCCATCAGTGCATATTGGCATTGATGTTATATATCATACGTCAATACGTGTTGTTGTTAGACCTGTCCTGTGCTTTTGTACATTTCCAACTTCCATTAAAAGTTTAGACTCCAAATTTCGTTGTGATCACAGGCTGGCATTTATTATTATTATTCGCAAGAGAAATTTTTATGTTCATAGCTTTTAACTTAATTTATCATGGTTTTTCTTTCTTTTTTAAAAATATAAACTGATTATGTTGAAATTGAAATAAAAGTTTAATTGTACTGTCGTATATTTAACGATTCGCTATATTCCTTATTGAAGTGGCTGTAAAGTCATGGTCTCTTTTATTTATTGCATGTTAACAATTTTCATCTAAGTTGCTTGTAAAGTACAATCAGTTGATGAAAATGAGATCTGTGGCAATGTACTTGTAATGCAAGTCTAATTCATTTGTCATTATCTTATGCACAAAAATGAATAAGAGAATAGTTAAAATTTATAACAGCAATATTTTGTTTATTTAACCTTGCATAAATGCTTGGGATGATATATTAATGCTTTTCTATTTTATATAAGTTATAAAGTAGGGCATTTCACACATGGTGCCAAAACAATAAAGTTTTTATGCATACAACGTAAAGTATTAGCTAAAATACATAATAGTGCACCACTCTAACTTTCCTGTATTGTAACTAGTATTTTTTATGGTTATAAATTTCATAAAACTTCTGTGTTTTTCAATGCACTTTTTTTTCAGTCTTTCATGATTGACTTATTACAAAATAGAAAACGCTGCTTCTAAATTTTCAAACAAAACATTTTAAACTTTGTTAGTTCAACTGTGTATGTATGTGTGCATAAGCTGCAAAAAAAAAAAAAGATAAATTTACAGCACTTTTTGAATTAATCGCACATTAATTTTAATGGAAGTCCTATAAAAAAAGTTCATAAACATGTTAAAGACAGTCTACTTGAAATAGGTACAATGCAGATAGTTTGCAAAAGTTGTCGTTATTGTAACCTGGATAAGTGATACAAAGCATATAGAGATGAGATATCTAAGCTAATATTACTTCACTTGTATGCCTACTACTTCCATGAATAATCGGCTATTACTAGCAACATGTTAGAATACGTTTTTAAAGACATTTTTCAAAATAATATGAGCAAATGAAATGAAGCTCCTTACTACTCTATTATTATAGCAATTGATTGAATGATAATCAAGTGATATGGCTGAGCTTATGTCTTGGAAACTGCATGGGCGTCCTTATATACAGGGTACCTGGAAAGACGTGAATTCGGCATTGGACAAAATTTATCATAATTTTAACTATTGAAAAAAAATCTTTGATATAGGTTTCCGAAAAATCTAATTTTTAAACCCCTCCCCATTTCACGGAGTTCCGAATACCTGAATTTGTAACAAAATCCCCACTCAGTTATACTTTATTAAAATGTAAAATGTCATGTTCTTTAGAAAATTATGGTGTTCTTTCAAAAAATGGAAAACATCATTTCTAAAGTGAATTATCTTTTAAACTTCTGTGATTACAGAATTTTCGTTGTTTTTATTTTTTATTTTATCAATTTAAAATTCTTGCTGAAGAGAGCCAGTCATTTGCGAAATTTTTTAAATTCCGAAATGAGAACAGAAAAATCAGAAGTATTTCTTTCCGATGAACAAGAAAAGTATCTTTAGAATAGAAATCGGTAGAAAAAAAGAATTATTTGCTTTCGTATTTTTTTTTTTCAGCTATTTTTTAATTTAATTCTTTCTTTACTCTGTTTTTAAAATCTATAAATATGAAAATGCAGAGTTATTCAGTTCAAATATGAAAATGCAGATTCAATTAATGTTATTATAATGCTTTTTTAAATTTATTGTGATGTTTTTGTTGGAGAAAATAGTAACTTCGTTAAATCATGAAATATTCTTGGGAATTAGTCATGGATTAGAAAATCTAAAATGCATCAGATACCCTATATATAAAACGCTGGATTTTTCAATTTGTGACGCACGTAGCATAGATAACTGTTAACCAACCTCGTTGCTGAAACTTGAGCCTAAACATCTAAAGGAACCGATTAATGTACCTGAATATAGACTGATATTTTATTCCTTATTTTAGAAAACAAGCACAACTCATTACCCAATAAAATCTACTTAGTTCAATTGATCGGTATACAATTTTTAAACAAACGACGGTAGGAGAAGGTTTTGGAATATTAACCCTAACAGATTCCTTAGTGCAGTGTTTCCCAAACTTATGATTTCTGTGTACCCTTTATAAATTTTTCGTAACGCTGTGTACCACTAATAAAAAAATGAAGGTATTTTTTACTATAAAAACATCTCACAAAAGTTAAAAATCACAACTGGCTGTTGACACCACTAATTATTAACTGTTAACTCTGCAAAAAATGGACAATTGAAAATACGTAATCGTTAATTTTCATGGCTAGCTTTGTTTTTAAATAAAATTTTTTGAAGTTTTCATTTGTTGCGAGATATTTCGCATAAGAACGCGTATCCCCGCTAAACTATTCCCGTACCCCTGGGGGTACGCGTACCACACTTTGGGAAACACTGCCTTAGTGTAATGGAAATACCTTTCTGCTAGAAAAAGAATGCATTCTTGCTAGGGACAAAACTGTTTGATAACGCGCTACGCTTACAGCATTATCAAGTTTATAATTTTTGTTCTGTGTACTTAACTAAAACAGAAAAAAAAAAAATATGCTGCCCTAAATGTTTTATAGTAAGTTGTACTGCATTTAATGAGTATTATCTCTTCTGAATAAGAGAGCTATAAAAATCTTTTAATGTGCGAATTTCTGAACATAAAATTAGTTGTCAGATTTGGAGTTTTTTGCACAATACCTCTGAGATGTTGCCAAACATTGTTCTCTGAGCTTGATGTATTTATTCTATACAACTTAAACTTTAAAAATCTTAATTATGTAAATTTTAATCGGCTGCTGCGTAATTTTTTATTGTGTTAGAACTAAGTATCTTGCATTGTAACCAAAATAATTCAGTTCAGTGAGAAGATTTCACTGTAAATATGAAGAAAAAAATTCTTGTATTTTTTGTTGGCAGATTTATGATTCCAGTATGAGAACCATGCGCATTTTGACTATAGAGGGCGCTCTACTGAGGCATCATCCCCTAAGTTAATTTTCTTTTCCTTTTGTTTTGTGATAAAATTTATTTTTATTACATAGAAAAAAATAGCGATAATTGCCATAAAGCATTGATGAAGTAATAAGTAACATCCATATTTATTCTATTACTTTAGAAACTAATTACTTTACAAAAATAAATTCTATTTCTTTCGAAGCTAATAAGGACGTCATAAGAAATAACATCCATATTAACGGTGCATTCCTAACTTATGTATCCAACGTAGAAGTATACCAAATCGTGATTCACTTAGGTGCTGAGGGAAAATTCACAAAATAAAATAGTAAACCCTAAATAAGTTTTGATCTAAACAACGGAATTTCTCGCCCTAGGAATCAATGGTTCGAAAGTATATCAATGTAAATATATCGTGTAAATATTTTTATGCTGTAGCAAAAAAATTAATTAAAGCCTGAAAAATAGCCCAAAATTATAAATTAAAATGTTTCGAAAAGCACATAGCTAACTGCTCATGATCTTTCGTAACTCGCTCGACCGATTAAACAAATAAGTAGACGAAATTGGAGAGATTTCCACGCCTACGAATTACTAACAGACTTTACATCGATAGAACATTCGATTTCCGATAAATTAGAAAAAACAACAAAATAATTATGGTATTAAAAAAAAACGATTGAAGAGAATTTCATAAATTCAATTAAAGGAAAACGATAAATCTATCCATATCACTTAATTAATAGTGAAGCACTATAAATTTGTTCGGAAGGTGTTCGCTAAGTACAGCAGAAAAAAATATATAAATTCTAATTTGAACATTAATAATGGAATTATTATTTAATTTATCGGTCCAAAAGATGTTTCTTCGAAAAGCAAACTGGTTGAAATTCCATTTGGAAAACAAACATGTTATTTAAATTGATTAATTTAACATTATTTTTATAGATTGACGGTTAATTTGATATAGAAATAATTTAACTATGTATAAGTAAATTTTACATGAAAAAATTTACGAAGTGTTAATTCTAATTTCTTATGTTATGTAGGGGTAATGTGACGATCGTCATTTGGATTTTTTGGGGGGAATTAGATTTAGCATAACATTTTTAATGTGTAATCAGAAAAATAATGATTTATTTTAAGCAATTTTTTTTTCATACAATCGCGAATTTAAATGTGTGTCTTTTTTTTTTCTCTATTAAAAAAACTTAAAGCAACTTCCATAATATTTTAATAATTCACCGTAAATATTGATTAACAGTTCTTTCAATTCCAATTTAAAAACATTTTATTGAAGTGAAAAACATTAAATTTTAAATGAAAGTTAAACGGTTTATTAGCATTATATAGCAGTTATGTAGCATTATTATTTTGCTGATATAAATGTAAATTATATTTAATTGTCGGAATGGATAATAATATTCTACTTTGTTGTTTTCTTCACATTTCAAAATAACTCTCTTAATTAATTTTGTATAGTATGAAGATACTTGGATTTTTTTTTTCCTTCTCCTTATTAAGATTTTAAACTATGGCTTCGTTGGATAGGGGACAGTGGGTATATGTCCCCCTCTCCAATTATTAATCTTTAGAAGTATCGCCTCAATTTTTAAAACAAATTAATAAAATTTTCATGAATTGTTGATTTCAATTCATTAATGTTAAATACAAGAAAAAAATAATCTTTATGCTGATATTTAGCAGATATAAGAATTTGTTTTGCGTGTGAAAATTAAAGAACTACTGTGACTGGGTTATTTTAATTTAATACCCCATAAAAACTTATCCCCTGTGACGCCAATGATTTTGGCAGATAAATATGTATAAGGCCTCATCTTCATCTAAACTACCATCATACTATAATGGAGAGAGAAATAACTTATTTTCAAATTTATATTTTGTGTACCTGTTAAACGTTTTGATAATTTCATAATAGAACGCCATTGTCTAGTAACACTGGATGAATTAAATCTTATGAACTACCT